AAAATAAGGATGTTTCTTTTGCCTTCTAAATAATATTCTAATCTCTACTAAAAATAAATAAAATATTAGAAAATAGATTGTTATCTAAGTCTTTTTAAATTTAACGTCTTTTTTATTTTTTATTACATGTATAGATGTTCACAACTCTAATGAACTTTCTAAGGATAACAAAGAGCATGATCCATAACCTTTTATTATGTATGAGAGCACCTTCATTATTAATTAGGTACTTAACTTCTATAGAAATTAATATACAAACACCCTCTGATCTTGCACCATCAAGATTGTTTATATTATCTTTGATTTCTTTTTAAATATATAAACAAGGATGTTACAAGTGTTATTTATAGAATTAGATTATAAGTAATTAATTAATTCTTTAACCTTTGTTCTATATAACTTATATTCTTAAAAATAATAGTATTGCATTTTAGATAAATTCTCTAAATATAATTATAAAATTTTTAATTTTTTTAGAAGATCACATAAATCTTTTATATTATAAGATAAAATCTTTAACTTCATAAATTATTGGAAAAAAAAAAGCTTTGATACATCTTGTCAATAAGCAATTTCCTTTTTGGAGATCTAAACTAATTTTTCTCTTGAAATAGAAAGCCACATTCATTACATTTTTTAGTCCATAAGAGCCAAAATGTGAAGGATTTGTTGGATTTTCCAAAAATTATTACCCTCCAATATATCAAAATCCATATTGTGTGAACAAAAAAGATGCTAGGGATGGAAGCTTGTATGTTTGTGTAAGAATGTCTACCATTGCTACCCTTGATTTTATGTAGAGAAGAAGATTTTTTTCTTTTTCTATTTTTTGGACCTTTACCTAGCTGCAATAAAAAAATTCTTTCAAAAATCTTTTTAAAGTAATCAAATTTTAAAATTTAAAGGAACTACAATATATTCTTGCCTTCAAATTCTATATAGCCAATGGATTAGAATTTGGATTCTAAACTTAAAAGGTGGAAAATCAAGAATAAATTGATAAGACAATTTTAATAGAATCCAACACATGGTCTCTTCCAAAGATGTTTTAAATAGATATAGCCTTTGCTATACACTTAAGTCTATATTTGTAAGAAAATATATAGAGTTCAGATAATGGTAAATTTCATTAAAATTAAGAATTTTTTAGATTTTTTGAATAATATAAATTTACTAAGATACATCCAATCTATCTTTAACAACTTATCTTTCTAAAAAATCTATATTAAACTATTAGAATATGTAAATTATTATAATTTCTACAACTAAAATAAATCACCTGAATTTTTTGAAGATTTTGAAGTAAAACCAAATCTTCTGTATGGTTTATATAACACCTAAAAATATTCATAGATATTTTTAGTATATAATTTAAAAATAATATATATATATATATTTAGTTGTATATATATATATATATATATATATACATATATATTTTTTTGACACATCTTTTATAAAACTTTAAACTTATACTAAATAATATTTTTATTTAATATCATCCAAGTATCTAAGAGTCATAAAAAAATGACAACTTTTATTATATTATATCTAAACCTTTTAGTCTAATTTTACAAAATAACATTATACTAGGTATGTTTGTATATTTTAACATATAATATATATATATATATATATATATATATATATATATATATAATATGTTAAAAAATATTACATTAAAATAATGACTTTAAATCAATTACTTTGTTATTTTTATACTATAAACTCCGAGTATTTTTTAAAAAATCTATTCTTTTATTGGGTTAATGTTAATTTATTTAAATTTATTAGATTTTTCAATCAATATTTCTTAAAAGTAAAAGAATTTTGTGTTCAATTTTGAAAACTAACTTCTATATAGTGCTTAAATATTTGATATTAATATAATTTATGTGATAAAAATAAAAGATAAAAAAGATATTGAAGTTGTATCAAAATATGCATCAAATAAATTATTTAATAAATTTGAATATTAATTTAATAAAAAATTTATATTCTGAATCATCCCACAAAAAAAACCATATATCATAAAAAGTAACTATTAATAAAAAAAATAATATAATTTATTAATTTAAAATAAATAAATAAAAATAATTTTAAATAATTTAAACTTTAAAATTTTAAGAAATAAGGGCATTAAAAATTATGGCTTTTATGCATATATGTTTGAACTTCCAAAATGTATTTTATATAAAGATAATTATAAAATTTATTGGTTTTTAAAGATGTCTAGATGGCATAAGACAACAAAGTAAGAAACTTTTAATAAAAAGGGAATTCCTTGGTAGACATCTCCTTTTTACTATTAGGATACTCTCTTATGCCACTCACCTTTGCATATATATAATAAAAAGATTTAGGAAAAATTCATAGTAAAAGATTCTTCAAATGAAATTGATAATATTTTAAAAGTAAAACATATATATATATATATATATATATATATAATGTACTATAAATTTTTTTGAATTTATTAGAAAGATATATATATATATATATATATATATATATAAATACTATCAGCCATTGTAGTCAATTGTTTTGTTGTAAATTTATGATTGAACTTTTTAGTATAAATAAGAGTTTTATTGTAGGTAAGTACATGTGCATGGCAGGAAAGGATGTCTATAAATTGAAAAAGGGATGTCCCTTCAGCGATTTAAAAAAATTGAAGTTATTAGAAAGACATAAATTCCTAAGAATTTATTGAAATAGAGTTGATATACATCTTATTTCTATGTGACTACAAATTAAAATTTATTGGTTTTTCCTGTTAAGTGATATATAACTTAATAAGGTATGAACACTTTTAATTTTATTTAGGTAGTATCTTTTTTGAAATTTTAATAGTTTAGAATTCCTATTATATCTTTTAAATTAGAATTAGTTAAATAATTGTATTTGCCTAAAAGCACCTTAAGTTCTAATTAAATGTTAATATTAAAAATTTATTTAAAAAATTGTGTTACTATCATACCAAAAGTGACTACAACATTTCTAGATTAAACAATAGAATTTTAGTAGATGATAAATTACAAAAGAATAATATTATTAAGTACAATCATGTATCAAGACAAGTTAACATTATTCAAAACCTAAATAAATTATTTTGATATTTTATAATTTTAGGCAAAGATATTTTATTTAGCATTCAAATTTAATACACATTAATAAATAATAATTATTTTTATATTTATATTTTTTAAAATTTCAACATTATGAAATATAAATTATATATATTGAATAATCATACAAGTCTATATATATATATATATATATATATATATATATTTTGTACATAATATATTTTTTTTTAAATTATGTCTGAGAAAAAAATTATATTGACTTTAATAGTAGCAACTTAGTTATTGATAATTCAAACTGGTGTAAAAAAAATAGAATAAAATAAAATCATGATTTAACCTTATTCATAAAATGTATGAATAAAATAAAAAAATTATAAGTATCCAGGGAAAAACATCACCGTAAAACTTTCTTCCTTTCTTTATTTTATTTTATTTTATTTTTCGTCAACTTTTTACTTGGAAATAGATCACATATCAAGTAAAACTAAAATTCCACAACTAGAATTCCAACCAGCGAACTTGGAAGTTCATTTTTTTGGAGCAAACTACTTACCTCTGGTAGTTTAATGTCGTTTTGGACCCATACAAATAAAAATAAAATTGGAAAATTCTTTTGACAGATGCACAACACGGTTGTAGAGCTCTGAACCCACCTGAGCCGCCGAGTGCGTGTTTTTTTTTTTTTTTTTTTTTTTTTTTTGTTTTTGTTTTCATTGATTCAGGCGAGCCCATGTCGAGAAACACACGCAGCTCCTGACGCAATCTGTGCAGAACTCCTGATTGATTGAGATCGAGTAGCAGCCGATCTTGTACACTGTCTCAACCTGATCATGCGCTTCAGATCAGGACCCATGAAGGAAGATCGCCATATACATCCAAAGGTGGACTGGAGCTCTCGGACTCATCCTCGCAGTAGTAGTGCCAGTGCTGCATCAGTCCCAGTGGACAAGGAGGAGGAGGTATTCGTGTGATAAAAAAAGTTGCTCTTGCCTTAATCCTCCTTAATCTTTAAAGAGCCCATTCTTGTTAGTTCGGGACTAGAAGATCTTCTAGTGGAAACTGCTGCAGGAAGAGCATGTGATGCCAAGTTGTCGATTGTTTGAATGTGGGTAATGCTCTTCCGTAGTTCCTTCCAGCATGATGGTGAGAAAATGATGGTCAACTTGAGAGTAGTGCTGGTGGTCTACGATTTGGTTCGGAGAGATCACTGCAAGGGAGGCTGCAACGCAGTGGTCTTTCTCTTTGTGCCCGTGGGAGTTGTATCTGAGTGAATGTGTAGGGCTTGTTGGAGGCGAGATTTTTTTCTTGTGTTACGTCTGCAGACTTTGCCAGGGTTTGTCAACCGGTAGTTGCTATTATCGTAGATTGAAGATAATTATAGTGATACAGATCGTTTGCGAAATAGTTTGACCGTCGATGCACGATTGCATGGAAGAAATATGTCTCTTAAACTCTTACTTGTGAACTTGGCCTGTGTGTACGAAGATTGTGCTTACTGAAGTTGTACAAGCACAGTGAAGCTTGTCAGTAAAGAGTTCAGCATTTTCGGGGCTCATAAACCTGTGATTAGGAAACATATGAAAACAGTACTCGTAGTATTAAATTACCGCTGTGAAATGTGCATAACTTCCACTACTGTAGCAAGAAGAAAGGTTTCGTTCAATCACCACTTCAAAATAACCATGGGTTTGAAATCCTCAAGGAATAGAATATTTCATTGTGTATTTCTAAGAATGTCATGAATAATGCACCACATCATATAAACATGAAAACTCCCCGAAGAGAAACGATCGGTGAGGCAATAAACTACAAAATTTGTACTCTAATCAAAGCAAGCGAATCCATCAGACCAAGCAATCTGCACGATTCCGTGCCAAATCTCAACTTGCCTGATCGTGATTGGCAGAGACATGAAAAACAGCGAATTTTCTCGTAACCAGAAACCCCACGATAATGTGCAGGAAAAGCACAAGCAAAGAGGCAAGTAAGGCCAAAATGTCAGCAATCGGCAGCCCCGCAGCTCCCTCTGTTAGGAGAAAAACTGTCAAAGAAAAAAAAACTAACCTTTCTATGCATCAAGAATTTGTGGACAAACCTCCGCCTCTAGTTCACAGTAGCACATGAACACCAAAGAAAAATTTGGCAAAAACGGAGCATTAATTGTCAAGAAACCTGCAGCTGAAGCTGCTCAAAGCAATCCAAGGGTGGTAGGGTACTCAGAGATGATTCAAAACTGAAAGGAGGTCTGTTACATCCCCGATTGCTCCAAGGTCGTCGTGGCTAAGGAAGTGGAAAACCCGGGAAAAGGGCATTAGTTCCAGCAGTTTCTATGGTACAGACGGAGATAAATCTATGCGCGCATTAAGAAGATACTGAGATCCGGTCCCTCACTTCCGTCGGGATTCATCATGTAGAAGGATTCGGAGTCTGCAGAGGCAATGACGCGCTCGAAGCGCGCCCTCATGTACATGAGCTCACCCTCGAAACCTTCGTTGGCCATGGGCAGCACGCCCGCCCCCATAGAGACGGCCTGCACGAGAGCCAGGATGTGGCGGTCGATCTCGGAACAATCTCTCCGTGTTGCGTATCCAGTTTTGCGGCCGTTGCAGAACATTGACCATGTCGATTCCTGGAGGAGCACTTTCGACTCACTGGGAGATTTCTCGCACTCCAGTGCGATGCGTACCAGTCCTGACGCCATTTCCTTCACCAGAGAGCTCGTGGGGGTGGCCAATTCCAAAATGAAGAGGGGGAAGCATTTCGGGTCATCTTGAATCGCCAGGAAGACGTGACCCTTCCTCTGGCCATACAAAGTGCCTGCGTGTGAGCGGAGACTGTCAGCTACAGGTCTCAGGGTGGAGATATTAAACGCAATCAGGCAAACCGTCACGTGGTTTTCGTTTAGGTGTCTAGCAGGTTCTGCAACTTGGAAGTAGATGCAAAAGCTCACCTATGACGCAGTTACTAGACTGCGGATGGCTGTCGGGACCGGTGTCGGATCCTCCGCAAGAGAAGAGAGGGTGTGGCAAGAGGTGAAAGAAGGCACGAAGGACGGAGAAGACTTTATTTGACTTGGGAATCCTCTTTTCGGAGGGCACCAGTACCGACTCCCCTTTCAAGCTACTCGTCACCTTTCTACTGTGAACGAAACTCCTCCCCATTTGAATAAGACGTTGATATAGAAAGCGACGAAGATGGAAAGCCCACCGAAGTCAGACACGTTACTAAAAAGCAACCAAACTAACCATTCCTGAACCTGCATGTGAGGTTGCTCTCACATGCTAATCACAAGATAAGTCATGGCTGTTCACTAAAACCCTCTGTTCCAACTAATCTTGTTGTCGAATCAGCACCTGAAAACTCAACGTTGCCGAGGAGAATTTACGTGAAGCCTCTCTGTAATCAAAAAGTTCACATGTGTAACAGTCGCTGGGAGTAATCGATGTCGTCAATGCTTCTGGATTTCCAAATTCCAGCAGTACAGTGGGAGCAATTACTCGTCAACAAGCACTAAATTCTTACCGCGTTACGAGTCCACGACCTTCGGCAAAACTCTACCATTATGTTTGCAAAGAGAAGCAAACTGCAAGCACTGGTGGTGTGCATGCGACCACCGCCAATATAGAACTATTGCTGACAAACCAGGAGATGGAGATTTCCTCATCCAACAAAAGAAACAGCAACAAAGAGATGGCCCAAGCTGTGTATCCTGACAACCACAACACTAAAAGTCCTTGCTGGAAATAGTACCACCCGCCCTACGATAAATATCGAATCCTTGGGAGGAAAAAATAAAAAAATAAAAAAAATAAAAAACAAAACTACAGAAAACACGACGCAGGTGTGCAGACCAAACTGCATCCTCCGCTTGAACACGCGCTTGGCAATGTTATTCTCAAGAAGTTCGGTTTCTTGAAGCAACCCCGCCCATAGGTGCGAAAAGCGAGAAAATTGGAGCGAACATTTCCGGAGAAGAAGCAGCTCGTAAATGATGATCGAGAGGCAGTTCAAAATTCGTATCTCAAACGCGAGAGTTTCTCTTCAGCACCCGTGAGACATGAAAATGTGCCACCCACTTCGCCTTTCCGGAGACCACCAACATGCCACCCACCCGCACGTGAAAGACCTGCCTTTTCCAGTCGATCAGGCTTCAAATGACAAAACTCCAACACACCAAGTTAGACCTATCCCGCGGCAGTGTCCACCGCTTCCAGTGATCTCGTCCAACGAGTGCAGACCCATCACAATTTAACCCCTGGTGGCTAAAGGCCAGCTCTCTTACCCCTCACTCTACGGCTAGTTAACAGGGCAAGCGCGAGATGCCTGCTGCGGAGCCTTAATGACAGCCCAAAAATGGAAACCCACGAACCACAACCTGGGGTAGCCGCCACACAACGCGATGGTCTGTATGCAATCTTCCCTGAGCACAATCCACGAGCGCGCTACCAAACTACCAAGTCGGTGAGAGCGCCGTAACCAGCTTTTGCACGCCAGAATGACCTGATCGAAGACGAAGCGAGGAGGCCCAAAACAATAGCGACCACCTTTCCAAACTATGACTACTCGATGTTGTTTGTACTCAACGAAACATGCGAGGAGCTGAGAATTTGTATGGGTGTGGTGAGCACGGGACTCAGCACTAGTCCTTCCTTCCTTCCTTCCTTCCTTCCTTCCTTCTCTATTCTTCTTCTTATGCTGCTTGCCGCGCAGATGGTGGTGGACATAGCACATCTGGGCTATCATCATCGTCTCGCTACGGCTCGCTCGCTGCCTGCCTGCGACACCGACGCCCACACGCGCTGCCGGTGCTGGCGTCGAGCCCATCTTAATCCTTGTCGCGGAGGACCACGGTGACGCCCTTCACCGTGCCCCTTCCTTCCTTCCGTTCCCACCCTATCCCCGTCCCTTCTGGTTTCTTCCCCGTCCCCTCCTTGTCTCGTTGCCGTTTTTGCCTCTTGCTCTCTCAGGCGGATTTGGTGGTGAATCTGCTTTGATCTCTCTCTCTCTCACTCTCACTTGCTTGCTTACTTAATTACTTGCTTACTTACTTATTTCGTTACTTGCTAACTTAATTAATTACTTACTTTCTTACTTACTTAATTTCTTGCTTTCTTGCTTAATTACTTGCTTACGTACTTCATGTCCTTGCATTTTCTTTAGAAGCTCTTTCCTTTCTTCTTTCGGTTTTACAAAAGCCCAGGGTGGTGGTGGTGGTGGTGGTGGTGGTAGTAGTACAGTTGGTCTTTAATTCTTCTTACCCATCCATCAAGTAATTAATTTAATTTAATTTAACTCTAACATGGTTTGCATGAGGAGGGCTGTTGTATCTGGTCATTATGATCGGTGATTGTCATGCATGTGCACAATTGTGACTTGATGAGGGGTTTGTTTGGAGTGTGACCCAGGCTGTGATGTCCAATAGTTTTTAATCTTTTATTTACAAACGTGATGTGGTACAAGGCAATGCCCCCCAATGTTTGAAAAATTCCATAAGAAATTATAAATCATACAATACCAATACATTTTAAAAATTAAGAAAAATTATTACATACCATAAATTTTATTAACTAATATCAAAATTTAAGAAATGATTTTTAATTCAAACTTTAAATTTAATTTATATTTAAAATATTATATTTAAATTTAAAAATCTAATTTATATTTATAATGAAAACTTTTATATATATATATATATATATATAAAAAAATCAATGGAAAAATTTATATTTCTTTAATTTAATCAAAAAACATAATTTTTAATTACTACAACAATTAATATAACTAAGCCAAAAGAATCCTATGATAAAGTACATTCATAGTGGTATTTTTATCTTCATTATGTTTCAAGATATAGGATCTTAATCATATTTGGAAATGTGAAAATCCATGCTATTGAATATAAGAAAGTATTCTTGTATATTCAAGTGTGTTTCTATAAATTTTCCAAATTCCTATGGATTCTTGTATGTTTCCTTGTATTTCTTGAGTTTCCACCGATTATTGTGTATTTTTTAAGTGTTTAAGTATATATATATATATATATATATATATTATATTTTCATATGATAATATAATTTAATATTATAGAAATATATAATATTATTTAATGTTCTAGTAATATGTACATAAAAAATTAATTTTATTCAATTAAAAAAATCATAATTTTTGATATTTTTAAATTTTAATCATAAGAATTTTAATAGAATGTAATTCAAAATCTAAATCTAATCTTAAGTTATTGATATGTCTTCATGTCTAATTACATTACTCCAACCTTTTTATTCCAGTAACAATAGATAGAATTATATGCTTATAATTACACGTCTATAGTAGCCAAATATACACTTATTATAAAATCAACATTTATTAATATTGATGTATTACAAATTTGTAATATAAAACATAAGATCTTTTAATTTATTACTCAAAAAAAAACTTCAATACAATTTAAAATGCTACCTTATTTATTCATTTTGCTACTAAATTATATGTTTGTAATCCATTGAAATAGGAAAAAAAATGCTTTAGAGGTCTTATATAGTCATTGAAGACATTGCTATATAATATATTGCATATATTGGACATGTATGAAAATACATACACATATCCAATCCACTTTAATTCATATATCCAAATGTTATATTTTGAAACTCCAACCTTTTCATACAATTTGCTATGGGTAATAATATATGTTTATAATTACACATGTCTAACCACCAAATGTAAGCTTAATATGTAATCAATATCTATTACTATTGATATATTACAAGTTCATAACACAAAACTCAAAAACTTTCAATTTATCATTCAAAACTAAATTCTAATATAAAACTTCAGTTTTCTTTGGATTACTTATTATGCTTCTAAAGTACATATTCATAATACATTGAAACAAGAAACATGTGCTTTATAAGTCTTTTATAGTCACTATAAACAACACCTCAAAATATGTGGTATATATTAGGCAGGTATGAACCTACATATATAGACATCTAATTCATATACTATTAGATGAATCTTGAATTCATTGAAATCCTTAATTTCAATAACACTTCAAGAGTGCTCAAATCAAAGTTGTTCCATTATCATATCTCTTAACTATATCCAGAACACCTTCAATATTATAATTGGTGTTTAAAGCATAACCACTAAAAACTATAATGTTAACATTATCCTATTTTTGTGCCTCACATTTTGTATATACAAAAATAACATTGTATTATCAAAAGATTGTATTGCTTGTAGAATAATCTAATATAGTCTCATCACTTGTCTCAATAAACATCAAAGAATTTTTTTATTAGTTACTTGGAATGTAAGGAATTTCAGCTAGGAAAGGAAGTCATTAGAACCTTACTTATAAGCATATATCTAATTTTTGTAGCATTTTCTTCTTGTAAGAGGTGCAAATCAGTAACCAAAAAACTATGATAACTTCTATGTACTACTTCTTATTCTTTCTTATTCTCTTCTATGATGTAATAGACATCTTTTTGCTATCTATTACTAAGGTCGCGTAGTGCTTAAGACTTATCACCTTCTTGTTGAGTGGTACCTCAAAAAGTCTACCTACATCGACTTGTCTTAGTTGTCCTTGTAGACATCTAGCTTGAGATTCTTCAAGCACAACCTCTAAAACTTCTAATCCTTCTCCATAATTTTAGGAGTCTCTTGTAGCATTTCTTATTGTTTAACACCATTTGACTCAAAACAATATATTTTTTCTTTGTGCAACAAAACCTTACATAATCTTCTTTGTAATGTATGACCTAAACAAAAAAACATAAGCCTCTTAAAAATATCTTTGCTATTGTCATTCCATACACATTATTACTATATTACATTACACTAGAATAATCAGTAGTACTTTAGTTATTTGTATTCAAATCAAACAAATTTCAATGATGCTCCAAAAATAATGTACGCTTTCATTAAGCTGAACCTTCTTAGGCACAATTTCCAATGCCAAATTCAACTTGTTGATGCAATCAATTGATTTCTATTATATTGGAACAACATGCCTTTTTGTTTTCATATCACTAATTTACAATCTATTAGAATGTTGTGGCAATTGATATCTTCAAAGGTATACAATTGCTCAAATTTGGAATCCATTTGAATTTGACGTTCACAACTTTAATTTGCCATCTCTATTCATTGCATGAAGACTCTGATGCTAATGAATATATATAAAACTAATTAAATTAAATTGATTTAGTAAAAGAAAACTAATTTTTTGTAAGGATTTTGTTGGTTTTTGTTTTAAATATAAACTTAAAAAGTGATTATTTATAAACATTCAGATAAAAGTTTACCTCACAAAAAAATAAATATAAAAAGAATAATGAGGTTTTGATTAATTTATTTCTATAAATAAATAAATAAATATTTATATATACATTTAATAATAAATAAAGATTTAATTTCTTTATGAGATTCATTCATTACAAATATCAAGATTTTTAATATATATAATTCATTGTTAAATCCATCAATAAGCATATCTTTTAAGATTCAAAATTTAAACATTTAAACATTTAAATATTTTTAATTTTTTAATTTTTTAATATTTTGAATAAAATACAACATCACAAAATATTTGATATCGAAAACTGTGTTTTACACAAACCTAGAATATTTATAGATCTTTAAAAATAACAATTTAACAAAAACAACAGTTTCTTTAATCTAACTCCTCATATGACTAGTGCAAGTTTGTTTTAAAAATTTCTCTCGTCTCTTTTTTATTATCAATATGATCATAATTTGTTCTCAAATTAAAAAATTACGTATTTATTTTTTTCGAGGTTTTTATTTTTAAATGTCAAAAGTATCAAAATCATTATTATTTGACAAAATAGTGAGCATAAAATATGGTGGTTCCATCTCTAATTCAAATTATATAAACACAATTTAAACTTTCAAGCAAACGTGCAAAAAGGATACATCTACTCAGGTGGTTTATTATTTATTTACTATTAACAGTTTAACTTATCCACTATGAATTTGAGGTAATTTGAGCTTTCATTTTAATGTATATATATATATATATATATATATATATATTTTAATACATTGAAAAAGAGTTATGCAAATTATTTCTGAAACGTAAAACAATTTTTGATGAAAATGTTTTGAAAAAATCATACATATCGTAGATGCAATACAAGAAATAAAACATTTACTTTATCCAGCATCTTTCACTTTTTTTTAAACATATATTTCTAAGGTGATTTTGTTCAGATTCCCAAGATGCTCTTATATTTCATTAAATACCTTAGAATTTCTGATATTTTTATTAAAATAAAAAATAAGATTTATCATATGTATGTCTTGTTTCAAACTATGAATAGTTATCTTCATTATATATATATATATATACACTTATACTTATAATTTTTTTAAATTACAAAAAAATAAAAAAATTATTAAGAGTATAAACTCTCAGTTGTCTTTGTAGATTGGATTTTCACCTTTAACCCAGTTATATACTTAAGCTCAAGCTAAGTCCAGTGCAAGATTAAAGATTTTGCTAAAAGCATTGTGAATAATATTGTGAAAAGAGATATGTTGTATTTGGTTTCTAATTCATTGTTAAGTTCAAAAATAACCTCCCATAGATTTTTGAGATAAATATTCTTATGCTTTTAGATACAACAGCAGAACATTGTA